TTTCTCCTCCGAGACTCACTTCCAGGCACGAAACGTACGGCTCTGCCTTTTAATCCCTGCCCCCCCCTTTTTTTAACAATTTCAGGGAATGCCACAGGAATCTGGATAATGATCTCCAGAGTGGAGACGGTGCCAGTCCCTCCAGGGCAGGGAAGGGACAGGTAGCAGAGCAGCCACCCTTAACATGCTTGAATGGAAAGCTGTCAGGACAGGACGGGAAACAAAAATGCCTTGCCTGAGTCACTCTTTTTGTCCTTTGGGGAAAAGGCAGACCACAAATCTGTGTTGAGCTTTACTCCCCTGCTTAAGCATGAAGACTTTGCCCAGTCTCTAGAAAAAAAGGTCCCATCTATAACCCCCTTCCTTCTTGTTATTGTTATAGGTTGGCAAGTGGACTCCGATTCGCCGGGGCTTAGGAAGGAGTGACCTCCAAAGTATCTGGTCCTTAACAGTCTTGCTCGGCTCCTGAAAACCCGAGATCGTGGCTTCCGTTATTGTGTCAGTCCATCTCACATCCAGTCTTCCTCTTTCCCTGCTGCCTTCCATCTTTCCTCGCATCCTTGTCTTTTACATGGAGCTTTGCCTTCTCGGGGCGAGCGACCTCCTAACCACAGCTAGAATTGGCATGGTAGAGTGGTTGCTTAGGCGTAGGGAATCTTGCCTATCAGAAGTTTTGGACTACAGCTCCCATTAGCCACAGACAGCACGGTGAGGGAAATATCTCAGATTTTTCCAGCTCTCCCGTGAAACATAAATTATAAAACATCCACCTCCCAGAAGCCGAGTACCAGCCTTAAAAAGGGGGCATAGATCAGAGCTTGGGAAAATCGGCCATGACTGTTGGGGGATACTGGGAGTTGTAGTCTCAACATAACTTCCCTAAACTGTGGTACAGAGCCGAAGAGACAACAATCGTCTACCCGGATCCTGGGAATGACATCAGGTTGCAACAATCAAAGGGACAATCTTTGGAGTCATTCCCTTAAGCCTCACCCAAGTACAGTCGTGCCCCACTGGACGATTACCCTGCTCTACTACAAATCCGCTTTACGTTGACGTTTTTGCAATCGCTTTTGCGATCGGTGTTTTAAATGGAGTTTTTTCACTGTGTGACGATCGATTCCCTGCTTCAACGATCAGCAAACAGCTGATCATCAGATTTCAATTCCCTGCTTCAATGATCAGCAAACAGCTGATCATCGGGTTTCAAAATGGCCACCAGCTGAAGAAAATGGCCCCACACTGTTTTTAGGACTCATTTTTCACTTAACAGGCACTGAAAGTGGCCGCCGTATGGAGCATTTTTCGCTTAACAGGCACCGAAAGTGGCTGCTGTACGGAGGATCTTCTCTGGACGAGCAGGTATTCAGCCCATTGGAGCATAGTGAATAGTTTTCAATGCATTTCAATGGGGTTTTTTACAGTATTTTATTTGATGACATTTTTGCTCTACAGCGATTTCGCTGGAACGAATTAACATCGTCAAGCGAGGCACCACTGTGTTGTTGTACTGTAGCACATCTTAGGTAAGATAATGGAAGAAACTAGCTCCCTAAAAGAGGTGTTCAGCGTTGGAAACAGGCCCAGAACTGTAATTGATCCAATGAAGAGGGGTCTTTTAATTACACGTTCCAGGAAATTAAATTGAGGTTGTCGGTTAATGCATTCATGCACTAATGCACACAGAAGCAGGAAAATGATTACAGACCAGCCGTTCGTATAATAAATAATAATCATGTGCTGTCAAGTAAATCCCGACTTAAGTTTTCCAGGCTTTTTCTGGGGGGTGGGCATTCCTGGGACTGTGGGGCTGGCCCAAGGCCACCCAGGCTGGCTCTTCTCCTAGAGGGTCCCGTGGGGGGAATCGAACTCCCAACACCTGGCTCCTCTTCCAGGGAGAGAAGACTGAGAGAAGTGGTTTCGCCCATTCCCTTCTTCTGGATGCTTCTTGGAACTGTGCAGCTTGTCCAAGAGGCCGGCTCTCATCGGGGAATCGAACTCCCAACCTTCGGCTCCACATCCAGCTCCCTGACTCACGGAGCCATCCAGCCAGCTCTTTTCCCCTCCGCGGCCCGAACCGCACATCCAGCTCCCTAACTCACAGAGCTATCCAACCAGCTCTTTTCCCCTCCGCGGCCCGAACCTTTAACCCGAAACGAAATGAAAACCATGGTGTGTGTGTGTGTTTGTGTGCAAGGAGAGCTTCGAATGCCAGCTCCCCAGCCCACGGGGCGGCCGGCTCTCCCCGCACACACCGACACATACCTTTAGTTTCCGCTTCTCCACCGACCTGTTTATGAGGGGGAATTTTCCATGACGCACGCTGCCACGGCAACTGAGGCCTTTCACGTGAGGAGGCAGGAAGCCACGGGGCCGACGGCGCGCCTCGGGAGGAAGAGGGGCGGCCCAGATGTTCTTGGACCCTCGACTGCTCCGTGGTCGGCTTGCAGGCTTCAAAGCACCCAGGCTGCCGACAGTGGCTGCCTAAATCTTATTTATGATCTTTTAATCCCACCCTTCCAGCGGCGACTCCTTAGAAGGACGCATCTTCTCCATCCCTGGAAGAGCGTTGGTGCCTGCTAACTCGCTTTGAGATCCAGGATGGGGAACCTGCTTCCTTCCAGATGTTGCCTGGACAGCCATTCCCATCCGCTCCTGCCAGGGCAGCCAACCGTGAAGGATTCTGGGAGCTGTAGTCTCACCCATCTCTGGAAGGCCAGAGGTTGGGAGTGGCAGGATGTCGACCCATAAAGCACTCGTTGGCCACACGGGTTGTAGAATACCATGACGTGTGGTCCAAAAAAAAGTAACTTCTCTGAGTTAGGTTACCCTCTATGTCCTACAGCAATGGTCCCCAACCTTGGGCCCTGGGCCACCCTCTGTGTCCTACAGCAGTGGTCCTCAACTTTGGGCCTCCAGATGTTCTTGGACTACAACTCCCAGAAGCCTTCACCACCACTTCTGCTGGCCGGGATTTCTGGGAGTTGAAGTCCAAGAACATCTGGATCCACTTATTTTAACTGACAGCTACTCTCTCGTACAGCCCGGAGCTTCGAGGATCCTTTTATGCAGGAGAGATACAACTCCCATCGGCACCAACCAGCTTAGTCTATGGGCCTTGGGAGTCCGAAATAAAACCAGAATTAACACCAAATGTATGGCTCTAGTCCTCAAGATAGTTGACGGACAAGGGGAAGAAGGCTTCACATCCTGTGGACACGTCTCAGGATTGAGTGTCCTCGCTGTTTCCAGGCAGGGCTGGGGAAACTCTCCTAAAAAGCCTTAGACAGCTGCTGTCAGCCAGTGTTGACAAAACACGTATGGCACACCTATGGATTGACTCAGTATAAGGCAGCTTCTGTTCCTTTAAGTTGTCTGATTTATGCCTGACCCCATCTCAGCTGTCCGAGGAGCGACAGAGGAAAGGCAAAACCTAACGATTCATCCCGACTAGAGTAGGCATATTCCAATGAATCAATCAGATCTGGGTAAGTCAATAATTACATAAGTCCCACTGATTCAACAGGTTTACTCTTGTCGAGATCCGCAGTTGGATTTAGCCTCCAGACTGTCCCTTTCAGTTGTAACCCTATTGCCCCTACCCAACAGTCATCCCGATAAGATCCGACCCTTCTCTTGGCAGCCACTTAAAATCCAATTAAGGGGGAAAGGTTGATGGTGTCACCCCTCTAATTTGGCATCGCTTCCACGGAGCCTTCGGGCATCAAGCGAAGAAGCAGGCTTTCCTCCTGCTTTTGACCCATGGGGGGGCTTTTAGCACAGCCTGGGAGGAAACAGCACTCGCCCCACAAGCGCTGTGCTCAAACTGGGGGGGGAATAAACACATTATCCAGCCTCGTACAGGCAGAAGAACATTTACTACTTCCAGCCTATAACTCCGGCCAGGAGTGGTTGGAAGAGCTGAAAACCTCTTTAGAAAAAGCCCGAGACGTTTCAGCCAGCAAATCCACCCCCCCCCAGTAGGGTGCCATTAACACAACACCACAACAACGGCTCACACCTTTCCAGCCTGCAAACATCTGTGGGGCCCCTCTCCTCTGCCCACCTTTATCTTCTCTACAACCCTCTGAGGTAGGCCAGAGAGAGAGAGAGAGAGAGAAAGAAAGAAAATTGGGGTCCCGTATCATCCAGTGAATTTGAGGGCTCCATGGGGACCAGAACCCACATTTCCCAAAGTTTCTGCCCAAGTCAAGCCAACGATGGGGAAACTGAGGCGGCCCCAGACAGAAAATTCCAGGTTCAAAGGTGACGTGACTTCTGATCACTGGTTCCCGAGTTCCCGACCGTCAGTAACCCAGATGTTTTTGAACAGCAACTCCCAGAAGCCTTCCCCACTAGCTGTGCTGGCCAGGATTTCTGGGAGTTGTAGTCCAAGAACATCTGGGGAATGAAGGCTGGGAATCAGTGATCTAGACGAAGATGAGAGAGGCCTTCTGGATCTTCCTTTTAACTTCCTTCCCCAAGGATTCAGCCATGTTGGGCGCCGGCGCAGAGGTGGTACTGAAGGCTTCTGGGAGTTGTAGTCCAAGAACATCTGGAGCCCCAAGGTTGGGGACCAGTGATCTAGATGAAGATGAGAGAGGCCTTCTGGATCTTCCTTTTAACTTCCTTCCCAAGCATCAGCCATGTTGGGCGCCGGCGGGGGGGATTCTGGGAGATCCTGGGGATTCTCTGCTCTTCCATCCATTTTTTCCTGCCTCTCCAGTTCCCAAATGCAACTTGAACCCGGCTCTTTTGCTGGCCAACAAACAGGAGGTGTTGTTCTCCGGCCGGCAGAAAAACGGCAGGCTGACTTCCTTTCCCTGCCTCTGCGCATAGGGACTTGAAAACACAAACTTGGAAAACTAGGTTCCAAGTCTCAAGTCGAGGGGCAAGTTCCCCCCAAAGCCCCCGAACTGAGTGTGAGTCTCCTCTTCCCCCCCCCCCCCGGCAGCCCACAATCGATCCCGGTCTCGGCTGCCCGTCACATCCCCTTTTACCTCTTCGGTGGTGAGGGGCATACAGATGCGGTACTCTTTCACCAGCATGATCACGCCCTCCGCTCCGGGCTTTTAGTCCGACACCTCCTCTCTGCGGAACAATGTTCTCTGGCGGAAAGGTGGGCTCGTCACCAAGTGAGAGGCCCCAGACGGTTCGTCCGGGAGGGGAGCATCCTGTAGGGAGACAGGGAGGTTGGAGGGAAAGGAGAGAGAGGTCAGGATGGAGCAGAAATGAACTCCAGAAACACACGCGCCTTGAGAGTCAAAAAATGTTATGTTCTCTCCCTTCAGCCCTTCCCTTTTTTTCCCTTTTTCTCTTTCTTTCCCCCCTTTTTTTGTTCTACAGGCATCTGCTCTGCTGGTGACTTCATAATCGGTTGCCATGGCAGCGCTTGTGAGGTCACCAGCCTCCTCACGTGTCGGACGACCAAAAGAGAAGTGAGTCCGCAGGAGGGAAGGAGAAAAGCGGGTTTTATCTCATGACCCCCTTCTCTCTTGCACATCGTTCTGGGCACGCTCTCAATCTGGAGCAGACACCTAATTTGGCCCAGTTGTTTCCTAGTTTCCATCATCTTTTTTTCAAGTTTTATTTATTATTAACGGACTAGCTCAATATATATATATATTTACCCCGCCTTTCTCCTTAAAAAGAACCCGAGATAGTTTACATCATTAAAAATATTTAAAAGCTAAAAACAACATAGTCTCTGATCAGACACAGAGTGCCTCTTTCTCTCCACCAAGAAAGAATTTTGGGGTAATCTTTCAGCTCCGAGGCTCCCTCTTCCACGTGGGTTTGGAATTCCCTGCCTTTCTTTTTAGAACCAGATTAACCCCCCCTTTTTTGTAGATCCCACATCCATGGGTGCAGAAGGATGATGGTGCAGAAGGGTGATGGCCCAACTCACCATAATTAGCCCTGGGTTCAGAATCCCCCCCCCCCCNGCTTCTCATTGGACTCCTTGCCTCTCCACCACAGAATTGATAGAAAGGGGGAGATGGAAAACGGGTCTGTTTTGTGCTCTAAAGACAAGACCGACCCTACTATGAGACAAAGCGTTGTGACAACCTCAGGCGGCAGAAAATGTGAGGCGGCACAAAAGAATCCGACTTCTCCGTGCCCCTGACCACAACATAGAAGAGGGCATTTTGTCCACGGCTACCCAGCGGAATTGCACGTCCAAGACATCGGAGAAAGTTCCACTCCTGGGCGGCAATGCATTGGGAAGAGAGGAGGGTAGCTTTCTGGAGATGTCCAGGAGAAGAAATTCAACAGGTAGAGCTGCCATAGGTAGGGTTGCCTTTGGAGGGGGCATTTGTCCAGGTGGGGGGCGGGCTAGGCTTCCTCACCTCAGGCCATTCTCTGGCCCTTCAAATATTCTGGACTTCAGCAACCATGATCCGATGCAGGTGAAAAACATCTGGAAGGGTGACGGTGTTGCCACCGGATGGCTACGGAAGCCATCTCAGGCTGCCTCACCTGAGCCTGGAGGCCTGCCTTGAATGATCAGTCTCCTTGTCTACCACCAGCACAAGGGCGTGTGTGTGTGTAATGGGATTTGTAGTCCAGATACTGGATTCACCTTCCCGCCCAGCTTTGTAATTCTAAGATGCTGGAGGATTGCCAGTTTGGAGAATGGTCGCCTATGGCTGTGGCTCTGGAGGAGACTCTCGAGAGTCCCCTGGACTGCAAGGAGAAGAAACCTATCTGTTCTGAAGGAAATCAACCCTGAGTGCTCACTGGAAGGACAGATCCTGAAGCTGAGGCTCCAGTACTTTGGCCATATCATGAGAAGAGAAGACTCCCTGGAAAAGACCCTGATGTTGGGAAAGTGTGAAGGCAAGAGGAGAAGGGGACAACAGAGGACAAGATAGCTGGACAGTGTCATCGAAGCTACCAACATGACTTTGACACAACTCTGGGAGACAGTGGAAGACAGGAGGGTCTGGCGTGCGATGGTCCATGAGGTCACAAAGAGTCAGACACGACTTAACGACTAAACAACAACAAGCCTATCGTAATGTTACAAAGGAAACCCATTTCTCATGGGTTGGGGGGTGGGTGAGGAGGAAGGAACCCCTCTGTTTGAGACTCTCTCCCATTTCCTTGCCTTGAGAAACATTTCTTCCATGGGATCTGTTGCACAACTAGAAAGCCACTTTGTGTATCTACACAACATCTACTTAAAACCAAACTCTCCCACAGGGTGGGATGGGGGGGGGAAAGGGTTTTATCTTCACACACACCTTTAACCCTGCTTCACAGCACATGAAAATAACAAACAGACCCACACCACAACTAAAGCATTGCCAAAGGCCATCTTATTTATAACACGGCTACTAATCCACGTCCCTTTCGTTTCTGATGGCAATAAATCTATTCTTAATGTTTGACAACTGGCGGCCCAAATTAAGCAGAAGACAAACAGAGAGCGGGGTTAAAATGTCGGCGCCAAACGGAGAACCCGTCCTGTTCTGGAAAAACTTTAGAAGATGAAGACCTCTGAACCACACCTAAGAAATCTGCCGCCCAGGCTTTTAAGAAAGAAAATATTATTTTTTTTAAAAAAATGGGAGGAGTTCTCAGGCGCATCGCTACTGCTTCCAGAAATGGCAATTTAACCTTTTGCCAGGAAAAAGCGGACTTCAGAGGAGACCTAGAGTCCTATAATCCTAGAATCATGAAGTTCGAAGGGGCCCATAAGGCCATCCAGTCCAACCCCCTGCTCGAGGCAGGAATCCAACAGGCAGAGGGGGGGGATCCAATTTTCTCTTGAAGGCCTCTGGCGTTGGAGCGCTCACCTCACGAAGCTGCCAAAACAAATCTAGGTGACGCATCAGGCTCATTGTTCACCCCACACACAAGAAATTTGCAGAAATACCTGTCTTCCAACAAACTTGCAAACGGGCTTCGCCTCCTGGCTGTTTCCAGAGGATATGAATGGACTCCCGAAGGGCAGGTGAGAGGCTTTATTGAAACAAGCTTCCCTTCCCTTCCAAGCGTTTTGGAAAACAAAGGGTTACCAATAAGCCCCGTCAAGAAGCCAGCTTGGAAAGAAAATTCCTTTGAATTGAGCTGTTCAGCTTTACAGATTTGTTCTCCAGATTGACTCCAGAAGGCGTTTCTAGGCTTGCAAATCTAATTTCCAGAAGAGGTTGGTCTGTTCCAGAAAGCCAAACAGAGCGTCTTGTGGCATCTTAAAGACTAAAACATTGGTCCCAGGTTCGGTTTTACATGGGCCACCTATAAAGCCCACAAAACCTTGTGCCAAATCATACCTGCTAGCCTCTCGAAGGTGCCACGTGGCTTCGTTATTATTTTGGCTAATATCTTTATTATCATTTTTTAATCCCCTCTATCCACTGGTGCAGCAGCCAGAGTGTTAAACCCAGAGATCTGGGCTCAAATTTGCTGACCCACCAGACGTACCAAGTGATCTTGGCTCACTCTCTCTTTTTCTCTCTGGCTGAGCTACAACACAAGGTTGCTGTGAAGATGTAAGGGGAGGGAAGCCAGCCAAATATTCTGTACTTCAAGTACACTGGAGGAAAAGTGAGATATCAAGCAGAGCTCGGAAGCACTGCTTTGGGGACTACACGTCCCAGTATTCCCATTAGATGGCTGGAATGTGTCTTGTAATATGTGTGTGTGTGCTAATGGCTCCATATCAAAAACATATGAAGCATCTCCATTTCTGTTGTGCCGTCAAGTCGCCCGCAACGTACGGTGCTCAGCTCTTGCAGACTCAAGCCTGTGGCTTCCTTTAGAGAATGAGTCCCTTTCGTATTGGGTCTTCCTCTTCTCCTGCTGCCTTCCCCCTTTCCCAGCACGACGGCCTTTTCCGGAGAATCCTTTGCGTTCTCAGGATGTGCCCAAATGTGGACAGCCTTGGCTTTATCATTTTGGCTCCCAGTTTTGCCCCATTTCTAGGTCCTGGGTCTCCATAACGAGGAGGAAATCTACAACGCTTGGTAGCTCAAGTCCCAACGGGAGAGGGTTGCTTCTATTTCTGTTTATGGTGAAAATAAATCTCAAAGTTTCCTCCTAGCTTCCTTTTACTGTTGCAGAGAAAGCAACTTTTGAGACTCTGATGTTCTGAGCTGCAAAGCAGCAGACGTTCATGGCGTCTGACCTGCTCTTTGCCTGCCATTTCTGTGAATCCAGCTTCCTCCAAGTGGTACCCTCCAGATCCGTTGGATTAAGGACGCCTAATTCTTCGAGCCAGGCCACTTCCATTCCCAGGTTGGGAAAAGGAGAGGTGATCGACCGTCTACCCACTTCCCTGCCTCTGACCAGTCTCCTTGGGGGGGGGGCTCAAAAGGGAGCCTGTAAATGCCACTCATAGAAGCCCTGGGTGGAGGCCATGTTTATTTAAAAATGAAGTTCTTTGAAGAGTGGAGTTCTCTTCTTAGAGATCATCAGTGGGGAAAGTGTTCAAAAGGGGCCCCTATTCCCCTGTTCTCTCCATCAGCGCCACGCACAACTTTGACAACACGCTGTCTGCAGAAGGTCCCAGTCCAGTTCATCTCCATCTTATCAAAACCCGGTAAACCCACTTCTGCTGGTCAGAGTCATCCGTCCCAGCCAAGAGGTAGCCAGGAGTTGGACTCTGCCTAAAACAGCTGTCTGTGGTCCGATCAGAGCCGTAACCAGCCATTTGGGCCCCCTGGGCAAGTGGGACCTGCCTTCTGCTCACTCTCTTGCGCTGGGTGAAAAAGGAGGAGAATGGGAGGATCATTCCCCCCCCCAAAGAAAGAGAAAGTGAACAGGGCAGGAGAAATTACTCTTTACCTTCCTGATTTTCACCTGAATATTTTAGTGCCCTGGGGTAAAAGGCCGCTCGCTCCACCTTAGTTACAGCCCTGGTTCCAAAATCTGAAACTCCTGCATTTGGAAAGGATGTCTGTCTAGCTCTTTCATGGAGAGAGGCACTCTGCACATGCCCCAAATCTAAATCCTACCACCCCGGCCCCAAAAGCTTGGAGGCTCTGCTCCTTGTCAAATCACCCGGTTTCATCCCCTTCTACTCCCAAATATTCCCGCAGGAAACTCTTTTCCTCCAGCAGGTTGCCACAATCAAAGGCTCTTGGAAAGGGGCCTGATCCAGCCCTGGAACTTCTCCCCAGCAGCCGCTGCCCTTAAATTTTCCAACTGAGTCCCAGAAAGTGTCTGCCACCCTATCCCAGTCGTCTTCATGGGGAAGGAAATCCCAGATGGGTCCCAAACGGTTTGCCTCCCACCAGCCAAAGAGCGCGCAGGTCTAGCGCCTTGAAAAGTCCACCTAGGGCGCGTACGGTGCTGGAAGAGCGCCCGGCGTACGGACACCGTG